GTAGAGTAGCACTTGTTGTTTGTCATTTCTCCGATCACAAATGCAGACATGGTTTTATGTTTACGCGGCGCGATGCAACGCAATGCGTAAAAAGACAGTATAAGTCATTATAACCCGTAATTATGTCCCCACTTGATGCAACAAATGCCTTGTTCATAATGGGTTTTAATGTTTTTGTCTCGTCGCTCTGGCCGGGACACGGCATCACAGAATGGTAAGGGGCGTAACATTTCCGTCTCACGCTTGAGGTATTCGGCCAATCACAACGCATTGGATAGCTGGCCAATCACAGCACACCTAGCTTTTCAGACCGATGAGCTTTGTAAAAATCGACGCGTTTCAAAAAGGCGGGGCATAGAGGAGAAACAATAATGTACAGTATGTGGAAAATAATGTGTTTTTTTTTTTTTACTTTAAACCGCATAAACACCAAATACACCAAATAATGTTCTTTTTAGCAGCATCATATGACCCCTTTAATAACTATTCTTCTTATATGTCTTATATGCTCGGAACAAAACATCTGCTAATCCATTCACGGATATTAAAAAGCGTCCAATTACAGGACTGCAGATTTAAATCCATGGGTTGCATAATTGTTGTCAATAAGCATGGACTTGATGTTCAACAGCCTCACAAAGGGGTTGGAGCACTCATGACAACACCTACAGACAATATCTGCAGTTATAATTCATTCTCAGACAGGTTACACAATGTAATGTAGATCAGGCAAACTACCAATCTCTGATTGTACTACATAAGACATAAACACAATAACACATTCATTTACTACAATATGACGGAGCAGTCATGTAACGTTAGCGGTTTAAATAAATGTGCCGAGCCTAGAATCAAAACACGCCTGATAATAAATATAAATATACATATATGAAATATCACATTAAGTATGGTTGTGATTTCAATTAATGAACTTAAATTGAACTACAGTGTTGAACCACAGAGAAAGTAAAATGAGATGTTCGAGAAAAAAGAAAGAAAAAAATTCTACTTAAAATTATAAAAAAAATAACATAAACCATAACTGTAAACACTGCGATTAAATGTTTTGGTTTTGGGCAAAATTCGTTTGGCAGCTGGCTAACATTGTTTAACATTTAAAGCTAACTGGCGACGTTTTGCAAGAACACGGAAATGAATCTTCATGGGCAATTTATTTAATTAAAAAACCCGTATGACTCAGATATAGTCCTATTCGTGTACTGATACAGACAGATAGTTTCATTGCATTACACTTACCTGTGTAGATAAAGGGCAAAAAGCTTTTACTTTCTAAACCCGCTCGGTCTGCTGTCCGCTGTAGCTCCTACTGTGTTGCCAGATCTCTCATGAGAATCGAGCATGCTATTTTAGTTTGAGGGGGTGGTGAAAGGGTGGCGTCGCTAGGCCATTTTTAGGGGGCTATAGTCTCTATAAAGAGAGATAGGCTGACAAATAAAAGTGTAGTCTGCACAAAATTGTATGTTATTTTATTCGTCTTGTCTAGAGTCTTGAATTTATTGACTTTAACTTGAATTTATATTATACAATTCGTTTAACATTGACAACACAGTGGGAAAAAGTGTTGCAGAGAGAAAAACAATAAAAATGTAGGTTGTACAAAAATAGCCTATTAGCTTTTTATTCGTCTTGTCAAAATACTAAATTCGTTTGACATTTTTCTGTTAACACAGTAGGAAAAGTGTCGCAGAGAAAAATAAATAAATATGACTAATATCTTTCATTTAAAATTATAGGCAAAGCAAAATATAAACAAAACCGAGTTGAACGTCCTTCAAGCACAGCGCATCCACACATTGCTCCATCCTTATTCTGCTCTGTCACTCATCGATTATGGAGGACGAAACCTGCAAAAACAATAAATAAATAAATACACAAATAAATAAATAAATGTGTGCATAAATACACGTATTCTTGTTTAAATACATAAATAAATAATTATATATGTGATGAAAGTAGGCAAATAAATAATATAAATTGGTGGGCAAATGGAAAATGTTTAAGGAAATGCTAAACTCATCCTAACTATTTTCCTTTGATCACTCATTTATTTCTGAATGTAGTTCCACATTTTTTCCTCCTCTGCGCAACATGCTAATGAGAGGGTGCCAATTATGCAAGAGTAGGCGGATCGTGTGTGACGGGCTTGAGCGTTTGCCTGCGCATGCGTATTAGCTTCATCAGTCAAGGGGACTGAATATTATCTTACACTTTTTCATAGGGTTAGTTTTGTAGATATAATCATGAGAGAGCTAAATCATAAAAGATTTTAAGTGGCCAATGTAAAATATTAATGCTTACACTTAATTGCAATACTGAGCCGTTATTTGCTTAATAAACATACTTTTGTTGCCTGTATTTTCTGTTCTGATAACTAATGGGAAAAAACGGTCTGTTCCTCGATTAAACCACTTCATACCAGTCATCTCACGATGACCATGGGATACTGATATTACAGTTGTCTCTAGCTGGAGACTCAATCAGGTTACAAAAAATGACGTCAGGAAACGACACTGGCCATTTCTTTGGGTTGTTTGTAAAGTCACAGATACTGTACGGACAATACAGCTCAGTTTTTTATGTATCTTGCTCTGTTAAACAGAAAAAGTGACTTTACGTAGGTCATACTGGATTTACACCATGCATTTCCTGTCAGCGGGAAAGCTGCGCCCCCAGCTATGACATGACCCCAACCAAGTCCATGGTTGACACCCTCTCATTAGCATGTTGCACAGAGGAAAAATAAATGCAGAACTACATTCAGAAATAAATGAGTGATCAAAGGAAAATAAATAGGATGAGTTTAGCATTTCCTTAAACATTTTCCATTTGTCCACTAATTTATTTTATTTATTTGCCTACTTTAATCACATGTTTAATTATTTCTATATGTATTTAAACAATAATTTGTGTATTTATACAGACATTTATTTATTTATTTGCATATTTATTTATTTATTGTTTTTGCAGGTTTCGTGCTCCATATTCGATAACCTGCCTGTTCTGTCTGAGGGCGTATACTTACCACAGGTACAGCCTGCTCTGAGCATCGTTATGCACATGCTGCGCACAGACCCCGCAAATAAAACGCGTGACATTTAAAGCATGAGTGCAGCGCTAAAATGAAAATCGTAGAATCGCCCCTGGGTGGCGGGATAGTTGCATATGAATTATGGAAAACTGATTAATTTTCATAAATACCACCATCTGTCTTCCCTCCACAACAGGACTGTATTCTTTAAATAATCCCAAAAATCGCAACCCACGAAATTTGATTTAGTTTTATAAGCCGCTCATAAAAAGAGGACATGGCAACGCTGTTTCTCCACTTTGTATTTTACTTTACCTTGAGATGCTGCACAGCTGCCGACTGTCGGAAACCAACAGCATTACAAAAATGGTTGTTGTTTCTGCCCCGAGAATAACGAAAATGATTTACATAAGTTAATATTATTCATGCTAAATTTCTTGACTAATAAAAAATATATATTTACGTTTTTTTTTCTGAAATGATTTTAATGATTATTATTATTTTGTATTTCTATACTGTCTGTAAATAGAACAAATAAGAATAAATCGGCATTTGACATTTTGAAACTGCTCTTCAAGAACTTTTATTTTGAAGTAACGACTGTCGCTCTTATTTCCCATAATTCAGAGAGAGGCAAACAAAAAGCTTCTGGTCGCGTCTTAATATCATTAAGTCATAAGGGACTGTATTATTTAAATAATCCCAAAAATCGCAACCCACGAAATTTGATTTCGTTTTATAAGCCGCTCATAAAAAGAGGACATGGCAACGCTGTTTCTCCACTTTGTATTTTACTTTACCTTGAGATGCTGCACAGCTGCCGACTGTCGGAAACCAACAGCATTACAAAAATGGTTGTTGTTTCTGCCCCGAGAATAACGAAAATTATTTACATAAATTAATATTATTCATGCTAAATTTCTTGACTAATAAAAAATGTATATTTACGTTTTTTTTTCTAAAATGATTTTAATGATTATTATTATTTTGTATTTCTATACTGTCTGTAAATAGAACAAATAAGAATAAATCGGCATTTGACATTTTGAAACTGCTCTTCAAGAACTTTTATTTTGAAGTAACGACTGTCGCTCTTGTTTCCCATAATTCAGAGAGAGGCAAACAAAAAGCTTCTGGTCGCGTCTTAATATCATTAAGTCATAAATAACAATAATTATCTTGAGGGATTTTTGAAACATAGCTGTTATATTCCTGCGCACTTCAAATTCACTGTTTCACACATGCTCAGCGTAAATGAATTGAGCTGGTGTAAGGTAAGGGATGGTAAAGCGCATCTGCACCTGCTAGCAGAATGACTGTATTTGAACTACTGAAATAACAGGCTGATGAATTCCAGTCCACATTTAATTATACATTATATACAAACATTGCAAATGTGATCAGTACCAAACCAGTGGTGGAATCCTTCTCCTCTATTAAAACTCTTTAAAATGAATGCAACTTAGCTTTTAAAATAGTTTGCCATCGTGGACATTTGATGTGCTAATCAAATTGATTTTCAATGAAACATACTGAACGGCATTGTCATATGTTATATATATTTGTAATATGCATATATTGTAATATGGAAGGTTGTAATATTGTTCTTTAGATTGCATAGACCTACACTACCAGTAACAATATTACCAGTAACGGATACACTTTGCCGAATTTATATCTTCATGATCTTAACAATGTTTTGATCTTAAGACCTATGCTTGAAATAATAAAAAAATTTTAGACATACAATTTTTGCCTATGTATAAATGTATTTTATAGAGCAAAAATATAGTATGAAAAATAGTAAAAAATAAGTGGTAACACTTAATAAGGTCTATTAGGTTACAGTATTTAATAATCTATAATTGTTAACAGTTAGTAAAAAATAATAACTGTTCATTGTTAGTTCATGTGAGCCCAGATCAATTGAACATTTACAAAAACAACTTTTGATTTTAATAATGAATGTATTAGTATTTTTTTTACTTCTAGTTTAGACTACATCCACAGCTGCAGCTATACTTTTGAAGTGAATAGCATCCCTTTCCTCCATCCTTCTACTTCATAATTAAATAATCATCAGTATCTTACCTTTGCTTTTTGTTCAGGATGTGTTCTCATAGAGATCCAGGAGGAGCATGTCACTGATCCTGTTTGCCTTTGTTGTCCGGGTCAGGGATGGACTCCCTCTCTCCGCCTCCACGGATTTCCTGCATGATAAGGAACTTCAGGAGAGAAAGCAACAGCTGAAAGTGATCTCAAAATCCCTAAGTTCATTACCAGAGAGAGGGACAGTCAAGGGCCATGAGCTCAACATTCAGTAAGTGCACTATAGTGGACAATAATGTCATAGGCCATAAATATTTTTTCCCGCCCATGAAACTGCAAAAACGGGCAGTTGCTTCTACTGCAACAACTAAACATATTTAATAAACAAAAAATATTTGTAGCTATATTAAATTAAAGGCAACCACTGCATTTTAATCGTGATACAAAGAAAGATGCTACACACATGTATGAGCAGATTTTGTACATGCAGGCATTGTACATAATCGACCAGTCGTGGCATATGATAAGGTGGGATCTACAGAGAACGTTCAAAGCGATGCAAATATGCGTACATATTAGGTGTGTTCGATTGCTCGGTGTTTGACATCAAAGTACCATGAGAGCGTTTCAAAAGCATAAGGAGTCTGCTCTCTGTAGCTCTGACGGTACTTTGGTGTCATGCACCGATCGGTCTGCGCAGTGCTGCTTCAAGTCGAAAGCAAGTATGAAAACAGAAAAACAAAGCCAAAACCCTGGATATTTTAGGCAATCCTGGCCAGGTATGTTTCAAAAGAGCACTTATGGTCACCCTACATTATAATGAGAAGTATAAATACATTTTCGGTTTATTATGAAACTGGCAAGACAGATTCAGGGGTCACCATACCAGGGCCGGTGTCCTTCAACTTGCCTTTTATTTTTAAAGGTGTAGATCCTTTCAATTACATTCTATACACTGAAAAAAGGTTCTTTAGATTTTAAAATGTTCTTCACACTTAGAAACTATTCACTAAAAGGTTATTGGGGAACCAAAAATTGTTCTTCTATGGCATTTCTCAAAAAAACCTTTTGAAACCTTTATTTTTATGAGTGTATTTATGAATTTATTTGTAAAAAGTAAAATGTTTATTCATTTGTTTACTTTAAAAAAAAAAACAATCATCAATACATTTGTATTTATTCATCTTTAGTAATGTTAGTTAATAAAAATGGAACCATCCACTCTTAGTTCTTA